TCGACGCGCACGTCGACGGCGGCGGCTCCATCGAGCCCTGCGAGTGGGACGGCGGCGGCGACGACATCAGCAGCGAGACGAGCTCGCCCCCGCCGAGCCCGACGCGGTGCTAACACTAGGAGGACGCGCTGCGCCACGTGGCGACGGCGTTCGCCGTCGTCGCAACCGCGATGACGCTCCCCGCGGCGATGGAGAGCCAGTCGAGCGCGCGGTCGCGCGCCGACGCCGCGATGGACAGGTGCATCCAGGGCCCGACGATGAGCCCGAGGGGCGCGCAGGCGAGGGCGCCGAGCAGGGAGACGACGTGGTCGAGCTTGTGCTCGAAGGCCACGGCGAGCGCCGCGAGGAAGAAGACGAGGCCGACGCGCGACGCCGCCGCGGCCCGCGGCCGCTCGCCCGACGCGTCGAACATGTCCGTCACGGGGAAGAGCTGCAGGGGGAAGGTCAGCAACACGACGACGACATAAACGCCGCGCACGGCGCCGCCCGGCCACGGCGTCGACGGCAGCGACTGCGACGCGATGACGTTCACTTCGTCGCCGAACGCCAAATAGCAGACGATGCCGAAGCAGGCGTAGGCCGCGGCCACGGACGCCACCGTCGCCACGGTCAGCGCCGTCATGCGGCCCCGGTGCTTCGACGCCGTCGCGTCGCAGACGGGGACGACGATGGGCGCCTGTGGTCCAAGGGGTCCTGACCAAACTTCAAACCTCTCTAGCTCGGTCAGCTCGAAGTCGATTCGGCTGATTTTTGGACGAATCGATTGCTCTCGTCGAGTTCTCGAAGCAGAGCCGAAGAGGTCGCGTCGGAACGGTCGACTACGCTCAAGGTGAAGTCGGGTGGAAGATTTGAATTCGGCACAGATGGGCGCCGTCCCCTCGAACGCGAAGACGGTGATCCCGGCGAACGTCAGCGTCGACCCGAGCGGCGCGAAGCCGTAGGTCACGTCGGCGCGCGGGCCCTCGCGCGCGAGCGTCTTCAACGCGTAGGCGGCGACGACGACGAGCGCGAAGGCGACGAGCGCGTTGCCCAGCGCGTTGAGGAAGTGGAGCTTCTGGAGCTTTGTGGTCAGCGAGAGCGGCGCCTCGAAGACGGCCATGGCGGCGATGAGGATGGCCAGCGACGGCGCGCGGGACCCGAGCAGATCGCCCGCGTTCTCCGCGACGAAGATGAAGTAGGTCACGCAGTCGCCGCACTGCATGGCCGCGACGCAGAACCGCACCAGCACGTCGCAGCGCGGCCCGGCGAAGCGCCGCGCGAGGCCCTGGATGCCGTGGGCCGTGTCCAGGCCCTCGTCGCGCGCGTGGCGCCAGCAGTCGACGAGGCGGCTGATGCCCAACGCGAAGAGCACGTTCGCGACCACGATGCAGACCAGCGACCCGCCGATGCCGGCGTCGCTGAAGCCCTTGGGGATGTAGAGCGCCGCGNGGCCGACCATGCAGCGCACGAGCGCGACGACGGCGCGGCTGAGCGTGCCGCCGG